CGAGGGCCGCAAGGAGATCTGGGATGCTCTGAGGGCAGCTGCCTATGCCGTGGAGGCCAATGACCACAGCCTGGCCCAGGCCATCCTTGATGGAGCCAGCATCACCCTACCCCATGGTGAGGACGGTACTGGGGGTGTGGGTAGGGTGGGTGCTGAGTGCCCCACGTCCAAGCACATCAGGGTGCTGGGTTGGAGAGGAGAAGGGTTCCCAGCTGCCATCCACGCAGCTCAGCGCAGCCAAGGGGGGCAAGATGGGCTCTGCCCCACTGCCTGGGATGACTCCATCCCCATTTGGGGGGTCCATGGGGATGCTCACCCACAGCATCTCACCCTGCCATCCCCAGGGTCTCTGACGGAGTGCTACGATGAGCTGGGCAACCGGTACCAGCTGCCTGTCTACTGCCTGGCACCTCCTGTCAACTTGATCCTGGAGCGGAGCGAGGAGGAGCCGGTGGAGCCGGCCGAGCCCCTGCCCAACACCCGGCGGGAGTTCGCCCTCAAGGTGCGGCTCTCCACCGGCAAGGACCTGCGACTCAGCGCCAGCATGGGCGACACCATTGGGCAGCTGAAGAAGCAGCTGCAGGCACAGGAGGGCATCGACCTGGCCTGGCAGCGCTGGTTCTTCTCGGGCAAGCTGCTCACTGACCGCACACGGCTGCAGGAGACCAAGATCCAGAAGGATTTTGTTGTGCAAGTGATCATCAACCAGCCCCTGCCGCCCAGGACCTGAGCCCCCCCCACTCGTTGTGGGGAGAGGGTAGGGGGCTGGGGGGCAGTGGCACCTCTGGGGATGCACCAGGCCATGTCCCAGCCCTGCCGGAGCGGGGGCAGTCCCTGCTCCCCCCCCAGGCTGCCCCCCAGGAAGGGCTGCGTGGGGCTGTGCCACTACAGTGGCCTTTCTCGGCTGGGGACATCGGCACATGCTGCGTTTGCTGCAGGAGGTTCGAGACCAAATGTCTCCGGGGGGGTCGGCACGGCCGGGGCCTGGCTGCTGGGCTGTGCTGGCGGGGAGAGGCCGTGACCTGCTGGGCTCTGGCTCCCCCTGGCCAGGAGGCCCCAGGGTGCTGGGCTGGGTAGAGATGTCTCCCCTCTGTACATAGTCTGTATTTATCAATAAAGCCTTTTCATCCTTCCTCTGTCCCTGGGGCAGGCTGGGGGGGCTGTCACCCACAGCCACGGGAGGGCGCTGTGCCTGTCCTACATCTGCTCCCATGTTGGGATGGGCACAGGGGAGCCTGGGTGCCCCAGCTCTGCTCCCCAGTGCCACTGACCCATCAGCCCCGGCTCTTTGCCTGCCTGGACCCTTCCATAGCGCTGCCGCCATCATCCCATTGCCATCCCTGGTGCTTGCCAGCATGGGGCCACCGCCTTCTTTTTCCTGGTGTTCCCCTCCAGAGGTTTCAGCCTGTGCCTGCCTCGGGGCTAGGTGGGACAGTCCACAGAGGGGAATGGTCCTAGGACCACCTTTGCAGCCTCCATCGCCTGTCCTGGTGAAAATGGCACCTTTCTGCAGCCGGAGACTGTGGCACCCATGGGACAGGACACCCAAGGGTGTCTCTAGGAACTGCCCGAGAGGGTGACAGTGATGTGTCCCCATCTGTCCTTCCCCCAGGTCCTGCGCTGGCGGCCAGTGCCCAGCGCATTAACTGTCCCAGCACAGGGCAGTGCCGGCCTCATCTTACAAAGGGGGAGAGCAAAGCCTATGGGGGCTGAACAATGTCCCGGCTTCCAGGAATAGCTGCCGGCTCTGCCTGCTGGCCCCATGGGCTGCCGGCCCTGCTGCCAGGCTGCCCATGCGCAGTGGGGGAGGCTGGGCTGCCACTGGGACCCTGGCAGGGCTGCTCGGGACGCTCCGCACCTGAGGTCATCCTCCAAAGCGGCATGGAGGGGCCGTGGCTCCCGGCATCGTGTGCTGCCTGCCACTGGCTGAGAGGTTTGGGGGGGGCCATTGCCTCCTTTTGTGGTGGGCGGCAACCCCCCTGGGTGCCAGGGAGCCCTGGGAGATGCTGGTGGGTGCTGCAGCATCTGGTTGCATGGGGATAGGTGACAGGAGCCACAGGGAGCATCCTGGCTACCCAGGGTGGGCGGCACAGGACCTGCAGGGCGACCCCCGACCGTGTCCCTGCTCTGTTGAGCCTCTCTGGACTGGCTGCCGTGGGCTGTGCGCACCCCAGCTCCCTGCACCCAGCACGGGGGTCCCGGCCAGCCCATGGGGGGGCAATGGGTCTCTTTAAGAGGGTGCAGGGCCAGGGAGGTGAGCCAGGGCCACCAGAAAGCAGGAGGGTGAGCTCATGGCAAAGCTGCCCAAGTCATGTGGAGCAGCCACAGCTGTCGCTGCCCTTGGGCTGCGGGACGGAGGG